TTTTTTTTTGGTGGTTTTTTTGGTTTGGTTTGGTTTGGTTTTTTTGGTTTTTTTTTTTTTCGCTGTTAGGCACTCAGTCATAAAATTCAAAAAAAAGGTTTTGGCTGGATGTCAAAGCAATCAGTGCACTACCAAATAAAGCCTACGGCTCTAACATTTCATCCTCTCTTTCTCCAGACTGCTCCTCCCAGGTCCATTCCTTCCCTTCAGTCAACAACCACAGACACACATCTCTAGTACATACTGGTATCCTTTTCTAATAAAGCATCTCAAAACCATCCCTAGTGTATTATCAACCATCCTGGTATGCATACAGAAAGCAAGACACAAGGAATTAAGTTCCTCTCTGACTTGAAAATCAGCAGGAGAGAAAGGGGCATGAGGTAAGGCTTGCTCAAACCACCAGACCAGCAGTGAAAAAACACTGGTTCTGTGGCTGAGCCCAGCACCAACTCCAGAACAAAAATAACCCACACCAGTTGCTTTTGATTTCTCTGAATTTATTTGGCATTGGATGCCCAAAAGCTCTGCTCTGCCTGCAATAGGTAAGTTTTACCCAGTTTTCCTCCTCACATCCTCCAGCTGAAGATATCTTCCTTTTATTTCCCCAGAAGACTTCTGCTTTCCTGCTTAGCTAGAGTTCTCAGCCTGGGCTGTGGCACCCTACTTCCATAAGGCTTTATACTGGGAGTGTCCAGATCCTGCACTGACCTTCAGGCCAAGGGTACTTTCTATCACTGTCCCTGGAGACTGTAAATACATCTACTCCGGAAAGCTGGTTGTTTTCCTGAAGGTATTTATAGCATTCAAATCACTCTTCTTTCTTCAGGTTTCTGTCTGCTTTTGTCTCTGTATAGAAATTAAAACCCTGGATATAACCCAAGGAAAAACCACGTCCCGTTCACCAAAGCATACCAGACTGAGGGCGGCTACTGCCGACGCTGCCTGGCATTCATCAGACACTGATTCACTGTTTGGAGACAAAGATCTCCAATTTTTGGTGGTGCCTTCAGGAAAGGAAAAATGGGGTATGATGCCCATTTGAGACCTCAGTTTTCCTCCAGCCCCCAATATATTTGGCTTTTCAGCCAGTTCAGAAAGCAGAAATGCAAAGTGAGACCATGGCAAACTTTATGGACTCCATCACAAAGGTGCCCAGAGCATTTTGAGACCCCTTCTCAGGTGAAAGCTTAGTTGCATCCTTTCAGTCTAGGTAAGGCATGCTGTTGAAATTTCCCTGCCACCAGATGCAGCATGGCATAGTTGATCTCCTAAAATGCTATGAAAACCTCATAGCAGTGCAAATATTCCAACATCTGCTTTTATTCTTCAGTAACACCCACAAAGTCCAAGACAGGGCTGATCTTATTTGAAATTGGATTTGATCTCAGCTAATCTGAATTTGACCCTCACTTTTAGAGTCTTTGGCTCCCTATCAGATGGGAATATCCCAAGTTGTCTCTCCCCAGGTCAGCTTCCCCAGGGAAAACCTGAATCTGTCTTGGCAAGTTTGTTATAACAAGATGCTGCCTTCTAAACACGTTTGCAAAGTCCTGCAGGCAGATGAGGAATGCACACACCCCCACTTTCCAATGTTGCTCCTGTATTTCTCCCTCCAAGCATTCACCTATAGTCTAATTCCCAAAAAGCCAAATGCTCAAGCTCCCCTCCTTCACCATGACCGTCTGCACCCTGAACACAGAGCATACCTCTGTCCAAGCATCTCTCTGGCAATCCCAAAACCCGGCCCTTTCTCCCAAACTCCTCCCTACAAGAATCCCTCTCTTGAGCATCCTTCCTGTATCTCAGCTTTTTCAGTAGTCCTCATCCCAACCATCTCTACTGCATACCTCACTCCAAGCCCTCTGCTACACTGCAACCCAGAGCATCCATCCCTCTGAGTATCCTTCCCATCACCCCTACCCTTCTCCTGAGTATCCCTCCCTCAGAGCATCCCAGTTCCTGAGAATGCCAACTCTATCCTGACACTCAAGCAGCCCTTACTTCCAGCTCCTTCCTGCATCCCGACCCCTGAAAAACCTTCTGCATCCCGACCCCTGAAAAACCTTCTGCATCCCGACTGCCAAGCATTCTTGCCTTTGAGCATCCCTCCTGCAACGCTTTCCACCAGCACCCCTCCTGCACCGCTTGCCTTGAGCAGCCTATCTGCATCACTCACCCAGAGCATCCCTCATTCCCTCATCCCTCCAGCATCCCAAGCGCCCCAAGTATCCCCTTCCCTGACTACCCCTCCTGCATCTCTTTCCCTGAGCACCCTTCCTATATGCTTCTCACTGAGTATTCCTACTGAATCCCTCACCGGAGCATTCATCACCCCAAGCACTCCTCCAGTATCTCTTACCCCGAGCACTTCTGCATCCCTCACCCAGAGTATCCCTCCAGGACTCCTTTTCCCAACTCCTCCTTCTGCAACCCTTCTCCTGGGCACCCCTCACGCCGAGCGTTCCTCCTGCATCTCTCACACCGAGCATCCCTCCTGTACCTCTTTTCCCGACTACTCCTCCTGCATCCCTTCCCCTGAACATCCCTCCTACATCCCAAGCCCAGACCTCCGCTACTGCACCACTTCCCCAGCATTCGACCCCTCCTTCCTGCGATCACCCCAACCCCTGACCGCCCCGCTCCTGAACCCCTCTCCCTTCCGCCCGCTCCGCGTTACCTCCGGCCGGGGCCGGGATGCGGCGTGACCGGCTGCGAGCCGCAGTCCTGGGGCAGCACTGGGCAGGGCCGAGGGCGGCGGCGAAACGAAACTACATCTCCCAGCGGGCCGGGCCGAGCCGTGCCGGGCCGTGCCGGGAGCGCCGCGCCCCCCGCTTCCTCCGCCTCCCTCCGCCTCTCGGGCAGCGGCGGAGCTCGGCGGCTGGAGGGGGCGCAGGTGGGTCCCCGGCGGTGCTGGGGGGGGATCCGCCCGGCTGGGGGGCGTGGGGAGGACCGGGGGCACCCCCAGCGGAATTCCCCGAGCGGGAGGAAACTGAGGCACGGGGAGGAAGCGGGCACCGGCGGCCGGGAGCCGCGCATCTGGTCCGCTGAGGGATGCGGGAAGGACGGGTCAGCCTCTTCTGAAGGGGAATTTGGGGTTATTTTTGGAGCATTTTAAGCTAATTCAGTATTGTGAGCGCCTGGCTATGCAGGGAGGAGCCGTACCAAGGATTGTCCGTAACAGGGTCGGGCTTAGAGCTACTCTGCAAACTTCGCACATTCCCCTGCCCCCTTCCAATGAAACATCTCCGAAATTCAAGTATTCACGGCGACTCCAAGCCCTGTATGCCCACACTCGCAGCTGGATCCATCTAGGTGATGGGAGTGATATATGCCCTCCAGAGGGTCTAATTTTGGTGATGCCTCCCTTGTTAGCGTGATTTCTGAGTGGATTTTGCTGTGGTGCGACAGCATCCGTACTGGGAATTAGCCGCCCTCTAATTGCAGGGATGCTCTGGAAACAATGGTGTCAGTGGGAGATGAGGTGGAAACTGGATTATTGAACCACCTCGTGTGTCCATCAAGCAGGTGGTGGCTACCACGTGTGCCATGAAACTGTTCAGGGACAAAATAAAGTGGTCCATGAAGGAAATAAAGTGTATCTGGAAAATACTCCAGGCATGCCAAGTGATACTTAAATGGGTGCTGGTACAGGACATTGAAAATCAGTGAAAACTTCTGCCAGAAGAATAATATATATGGCATAATATATTGGACTGTACAAAGGGTTCCATGAGCTTGGAAGGAAAAATTATGCTGCCACTGCCCTGAGACCCCAGGCAGGCTCCTTTCTGGCAGGCGGTGGCAGTGCCCTCCTGACCATCTGCACTGCCCACCCAGCAGCCACTGAGCCTACGGGTGTTGAAGGTCACCAGGACAGCGCTGAGCACTGCAGCACTTGGGCTTTTATTCTCCAGACCCGGCTGCAGCCGCATCCCCGTGGCTCTGCACTCCCTCTCCCCCTCCATCTTGTCGTCTGCCGTTCTCCTTCGGCAGCACTTAACCTTCTTTCGTTCTTCTGCTCCCTGCTGTGTGCTGCTGCTTTTGTTCCTCTACTCTCAGGAGGAACCTGACCTTTGCTTCATACCGCTCCTTGCTTTTACTAGCTGGGCACCGGCCCTATTTCCCTACCTCTGCCTCCCTGCCCCTTCTCTTTATGCGTAAATTCACCAGCTGCAGAGAGCCTACATGAAGCCTCCTGCGTTCAGCTGCATCCCTAAGCAAGCAGCCCAGGAGATGCTCAAGGGCACAGAGGTGCAGGTTTGGAAAGGGATGAACACACACTTATCGCACCCGCAGCAGACCAGGGCTGTTATGAAACTCCCGTTCACGCTTTCCCATCCCTCCTGCGGCTCCCTGGCAGAACAGCGTCAGGGTCAGAAAATTAAATATAAATTAAATATAAATTAAATACAAACAAATAGCAGATAAGCAGCCGCACTCCGAAGGTGGATGGTCAGTATGTCTGTCCCCCGGCATTGTAGCCGCCGGCAGATCAATAGCAATTCTGTAGCAAGAAGAGAAAGGAAGGCTGAGCCGTCGTTTCCTGCCTCACGCCTGCTGGGAATTTGAGTCCCCTCCCAGAGCTCGTCACCACGTCCCCCGTGCCAGCCTCGGGGTGAGCGGCCTTTCCCCAGACGCCCGCTGGAAATTTCCAGAGGCACCACAGTAGTCCCGAAAAAAAAAGCTGCTGTGCCGGCCCGCAGGCGCTTCATTTTGGGATCTATTGCTCCTGGCAGGCACGCCATGCTCTGCTTCACGGACTGAATTTAAGCCTCTTACGTGCTGCTCAGTTGGAGGGGTTCATATTAAGTGTCCAAAATCAGGTGGGTCCGTTCTGCAGCCATAGGAAAACATGGAGTTTCCTCTCTAAGATTGCCATAAATAAGCATATAGGGTGCAGAGACTGTATTGAGAATGTTTAACCTTCTATCGTAAAGGATGAGCTGACCTAAGTAAATGCATCAGGGATATATGAAGGGAGGGGAGAGTCTATCCCTGCATAGGATTTTGTCCAGAATTCCTCCTAAAACTTAGCTCTCAATGGTGCCTGCTGTCTGCTGAAAGCTGGGTAAGTGGTCATGTGAGGTGTGGTTTGTTGGGGTTTTTTAAACCCTTAAATACTATTTTCTTTGTTGTTTCTGCCCTCCCCTTTTAGTTAGTTTATTATTATTAAATAATAAACCTCTCTTTCAAGAGGTGACTTCTAGGTTTCAAAGTGCCTTGTTTGCAGCCTTCATAACACAGAAAGGCACAAACTTGTAGGGTTTGGATTCCTCCCGAGGTTGTCTCCTTGAGAAGGGACAAGGCACAGAACTGTTCTGCAGGTAGAACTGCAGCAAGTGCCATGGGCTAGTCTGTGTCCAGGTCTGGCGTTCTCAGCTTTATGAGAGTTTGTGAGTTTGTTTGTTTGTTTGTTTGTTGCTTTCTAAAGGCTCAGGTGTTGTAGAAACTGGAATTTTTACCTCAAACAAAAACATGTATTTCAGTAAGACACAGTGGAGCAAAGTGCTGCATGCCAGGTGTGGGTAAAACCCAAAGCAGAACAAGCTTCACAAAGGAAGGAGCATCTTTGCCTGATGATGTGTTCACAGTTAATATGCTCTAATGGAGCAGACTGGAGCCCCATCCTGCAACAACCGTCTTTTGCTGAATCCCATTTAAAGTCTCCAGCAGCCAGACAGGTGCCTAGCCATTTCTTTTTCATACTTCCTTTTGAGGTGAAATCAATCCTGCTCCTCCCAAGGCAGAATTACTTCCTATAAAGCACTACCTGATCTGTCTCTTGTAACATTTGTCTACTTCATGTGGCTTTCACCATCTCTCTTGGGCAATACTCAAAAAGCCAGAGAGGTTTTTAGTCTGGCTGCTCTTCCTGATGCTTAGCAGAAATGGTCCCTGGCTTGCTTTAATTCTGTTGCCACTTAGGCATCATTCATTGCGTCAAACTAAATAATTAATTTCTTCTTTTTTTTTATTTTTCCTTTCTTTTTCCTGTGTGTATATTTTGTGGTTCACTGTTAGTCCTACTTCTTACAGCAACGGCACATATTTCACTGTCTTAAATACAGAATTTCCAAGTTTTGGTTGTCAAGGGATGTTTCACAGGTGAGCTATTAAAGGCTACATGAAAAAATAAACCAGCCATGCAATCTTTTGACATAAGGTTAGGAGGCACTGGTACAGCCTACACAGAGAATCTGTGGCTGCCCCATCCCTGGAAGTGTTCAAGGCCAGGCTGGATAGGACTTTGAGCAGCCACGTCTACTGAAAGGTGTCCCTGCCCATGGGGTGTGGATTGGAACAAGATAATCTTTAGGGTCCATTCCAAGCCAAGCCATTCTATAATTGTGTGAGTCCATCAAATTAAGACCATTAAAAACAGTGACTTTGTAAATGGCCATGTAATGCTACATCTTGAAGCAAAAACTCTATTTCTGTAACAGCATATGTTAACTCATATTTCAGGGGATGTTACAATTTTAATGCTTTTAGTACCATGTGTAAGGGCTTCAGAGGCCCTAAGCAGCCTGTGGGGTGGACTTTGGAAACCTTAACTCAACATGATCCTCTTCAACCAAATTACAGATTGCTCTTGCTTTGCTGTTCTGTGTTTAATTAATCTCATTAATTAAATCCCCTGAATGATACTAGGATCAACTGGTTATCCACATCTTGGGCATTGCCTCTGAAATCCAGAAGGATTGATTCATTTTCCTTCCCTGACATTTTTAAAGTGAAATGTGGCAATCAATTTCTTTTCCTAATTAAAATCCTGTTTTAAATTATCTTTATATATATATGTATATATATAGAAAGAGCTATGGCTATCTTTTGACAACCATATAAACATATCTATAACTTTAGACTTTCTATTAAACTGCATTCTTTTTGCTAGGAAGGAGAGATTACAGCTGTATGTGTTTTTCAGTAGTTGAAAGCATAGCAATATTTGTGCCATTTGTTTACAGTTTACTTAGATTGGGAAATCGTGACTGGTGGGTTTTTTTTTGTTTTGATGATTACTGTACACTTGTGGGTTTTTGCCAAGTTGGGTGAAACAGTCACTCAGTTAAATTATGTATACAGAATTTTATTTATTAGCTAATTAAAGCGCTCTTAAATGTGATGAATACAGGAGAGGGGAAATAAACTTATCCAAAACTGTTCAACATTCAAAATAATTATGAAACAAAGTGGTCTGATGAGGATGGTTCTAAATACATGAAAGCATTGATGAGTGAAAACAATTAGCTTTTCTCATTTTGCATACTTGCATACCTTCCTGCTGTGTCAACCCCCATCATTCTCCCAGCTTCAAACCAGTTATTTGCTCAACTAAACTCATGGGCTGGAGGGCTATTACAGAAATGTTCTCTATGCAGCTGTTGAGGATGCTCCTAGGAGTCAAACCCAAGTTAAAATTTACAAGCTGTGGTCAGTTGAAATGCTTAGATGCTGAGACAGCAGCTTTGGTTCAGGAGTTTGACTTTTTTATAAAGCTGACCATGCACTGCTGGTTTCTCTCATTTTACATCATGTGGTATGAACATGACTTTAAATCAAATGTAGATTTTACCCCCGTCCATGATATTAAAAGAGGTATTTAAATACAGGTTGCTCTTGGAAACACAAAATGAATCTTGTGTTCTTCAGCCAAATTTGCATCTTCAGCTATCAAATTAGATCTCTAGCTAACCTAATTTGAGTGAATTTTAAATGCTACTTGGGGAGGAGCTACACAAAATACTTCACTGTAATTCTCTGTTTCCAAGAACTGTAACCCAATTTATACTTCTTCTTGGTGACTGTAGGTTATAGAATCATACAATCATGGAATGGTTTGGGTTGGAAGGGACCTTAAAGATCATTTAGTTCCAACCCACCTCCTCCTGCCCACCATGGGCAGGGACACCTTCCACTAGACCAGTAACGTCCCATGTCCAAGATCAGATACTCTTGGTACTTCCTCTTTGTGAAAATCTCACCAAGAAGAAGTGATTTTCATGCTGTATTCTTCTACAATCTTTATATTGCATTAGCAGAGCACCCAGGCTTCAAAAAACATGCTAGGGGCTGCAAATGCTGGTTGAATGATTAAAGAGAGAAAATTTACAACCCATTTTATTTCAATTTTTACAGGTTTATGAAAAATAGTTTTTCATAAACAAGTGTTTAGGGAAACAAGCAGCAAAGACTGACTTTGCCCAGCTACTCCCAAATATGTTGGTTGGTCAATGCATTAAGTCCATGTTGATTATAAATCCAGTGGACATTCATGCTCATTTGTGCTCATGTTTTTGGCTCTTCTGAGGTTCCCAGACTATCTGATTCATCTTCACACTATGAGGATATAAACCTCTAAGAAATGTGATGAATTGGGCAAAAGAAGACAATTAGGAATGACAGCTGAGGAATAGTTATCCTCCGGACTTATCCATGGGCAAGATATTTGCCTCATTAAATGTTTTAAAATTTAATCTAGTGCAGAGGTAATGGGCAGGTTCAAAATCAGAGCATGCTGGTGTCCTGGGAGAGCAAAATCGAGTCTGTATGGGTCTTCAGAATGCAGAATAGAGAAAAGCAGAATGGGCTGTCCAGGGTATGTGTCTGGGCAATGCCCAGAGAGGGGAGAGAAGCAGAGCCCGCACACTGAGAGGCTCCCAATCTCTGTGCTACTCTTCCAGCTCCGGAGCTAAGGCTTGGTTTGATTTCTGATGCTATTGCCACCAACATCAGAAATCAAACCAGTTTGCTGGCATAGATACAGTCTCCAGCCTAAGAGAGCTCATGTTACTGCCACACTTTTTGCAGCATCCCTTTTGGACTGCTGATAAGAAAACAGTTACAGGAAATTTAAATGTTACCTGTTCAGGTTGGACTGAGTTGTCTGCCTCTCATTCAGGCTATCAGTGAGGTGCTGGATCACAGTAAACCTAGGACAGATGATGAGTTGAAATGAAGATCTGTGTCTTTGGGCTGCTTGGTGGTCTTGACCATGAGCTCTGCCAAGAGAAGACTTGTCACAGACACATCAAAGGAAACATCTTCCTCTGTGTTCGACTAAGTCTGGCAGACAGCTTGAGGAAAAACTCTTATGGGGTAAATAAGCAGGTATGGGCTCAAAAATTGGAAAGCTTTACCAATGAAGGAAGAACAGGTTGTTTAGTCTACAGAAGCTTGAAGGGCAGCAGAGGTGGAAAGCAATGAACATGACTTTTGAAGTTATTATCAGTAATGCTTCTACAGGCTGTGTTATTTGTAGGGAGGTATGGGGAAGTTTCTGTTTGATTAAATATGAAAAAAAGTAAAATCCATTTTAGGCTGCTTTTGTGATTGCCTGATTGTTATTGTAGCAATGCTTTTGCAGACATACTGCAAGCCCTTAGGGAAAAAAATCCATGATAGCCACTCGTGCTACAGAATTAAATCAGTTGAAGCCTCCACATGATCAAGTTTAAACAGCTCTTGACTCTAAATTGGGTTGAAGTCTTCAAAGGTGGGAAGTACACTGAGACTACAGTTCAAGGGGAATTTAGCATTGGAAAGGATAGGTTTTTTCCTAGAATATATTTGGCTGAGGATAGTCACAAGGATGGTCTATGGTCATCAATGCACGTGTTGTTGTGTTGGCCTACACATGCATCTTTATTTGCCAGTTTTGCTGGATGCATGGGACCAAGGCATTCACAGGGATTCTCATCTGCATCTTTCCATTATTGTCCAGTGGGATTTGGCTGTGTGCCAAGAGCTAAAGAACAAAGTTGAATGTTAGTCTTAACCAACAACCTAAAGACAGGTTCTCCTTTGACCTTTGTTAATTATCTGCCCTAGGTTGGGCCAGTTTTTCTTAGCTAAATGTGCTGCTGTCTAGAGATGTATTTGTTTCAGAATGCCATTAGCACTATTATCTGGGTTTTAGCAGCCGTGAAAGAATTGATATTCCAGCACAGGCAACCGTCTCCCTATCTGCATTTTGCTGTGACTCCAGAGCTGATAACAGTGGGTAGTTAGGAAAATGCCTGCACTTAAGTTCAATTTTAAGGGAGCTTTCTGTTCAATGGCTATAGTTACTACAGCAAGAGCTACCTCCCGCCTCTGGTGAGATTCCTGCTGAACTGCTGATACATTCAAACTCAGCAAACAAAGAAAAAACAGATTTTCACGTCCTCAGGTAGCAGGAATAATGGTCCACCTGCACAAGGCAGCTGAGCTGAACTGCAATGGAGACAGCTGCACCAGCCCTGGCATTGGTCCAGTTCCAACACACAGTAAGGCATGCTGAAGATAAAATGTTGTGTTTTCTCCCTAAACTGACTCACTGTGGGATCAGATGAGTGCCAGAGGTGGCATAACGGAGGAAGATAGTATGGTGGAAGGCAAGGGGAGGTCATGCATGCCCTTCCTATGGTTTAATTGCACCTTAGAACCCCATCCTTAGTTCATGTCAGCTGACAGCAGAGGCGCAGAGGCTTGGTGTGGAAACAATGTCAACTGGAATATGGCCCCAAATGATTACAAAATGTTTTCTAGGGTAAAGCACAATGGAAGGAAAAAGTCTGGTGTTTTTTTTAATGAAAGTAACCACAGACTGTCATGTGCTTAAGGCAGCAACTGCTGTCTGGCTCCCTGCTATGTATGGCTGACTGCACGCAGACATTATTACTTTAATCATAGCTTCAAACACTGTGGAAGATGTTGGGTTGTGTCAAGTTCTTGTCCTTTCCTTCTTTGCACCCTCTAAATTCTCTGTTTGTGAGGGAAATGAGGTCGTACAAGCCCAGAACACTACTTTGAAGTCTGCCCTCATTGTAGATATTGGTAGGAGAGATGCACTTTTAGCATAATTGTAAAGGTTTGGAAGACTCATGATTTCTGGCACTTAACTGAATTAAACAAAGTCCTCTTCAAATCTGTTAGGAGAAAAAAACATCCTTATGCTTGTTCTCAAGATACAACCTCAAAAAATAATTCCTCACTTCTAATTTCTATGGTGAATTCTTGCCACATGGTTACCCTTATATATTTAGTACTATTTATATCTTTAGTGTAACCTTTCAAAAATATTAATGCAACTAAATGTGTGGTATTGGATTTTTTTTAATTTTTTTTTTTTTTAGAATTAGTCCCAGCACCGTGACTTTTCCATCATGTCAGAACCTATCACGCTCAATGTTGGAGGAAAACTCTATACTACCTCTCTGTCCACTCTGACTAGCTTTCCAGACTCCATGCTGGGGGCCATGTTTAGTGGGAAGATCCCAACCAAGAAGGACAGCCAAGGCAACTGCTTTATTGACAGAGATGGCAAAATCTTCCGCTATATCCTGAACTTTTTGCGAACTTCTCACTTGGACCTTCCCGAAGATTTTCAGGAAATGGGCTTACTGCGGCGAGAAGTAGATTTTTATCAAATTCAGCCCCTGATTGAGGCCTTGCAGGAGAAGGAGGTAGAGCTTTCTAAAGCAGAGAAAAATGCCATGCTTAACATCACCCTAGATCAGAAGACCCAGACCGTTCACTTCACTGTCCGAGAAGCACCCCAGATTTACAGCCTGTCTTCCTCCAACATGGAAGTGTTCAGTGCTCATATCTTCTCCACATCATGCCTGTTCCTGAAGCTTCTTGGTTCCAAACTGTACTACTGTTTCAATGGAAACCTTTCCTCAATATCCAGTTACTTGCAGGACCCCAACCACTTGACCTTAGATTGGGTTGCAAGTGTGAAAGGCCTTCCCGAAGAGGAGTACACCAAACAGAACTTGAAGAGACTCTGGGTGGTGCCAGATAATAAGCAAATCAATAGTTTCCAGGTGTTTGTGGAAGAAGTGCTGAAAATAGCCATGAGTGATGGTTTCTGCATAGATTCTGCTCATCCACATACTTCAGATTTCATGAATAATAAGATTATTCGCCTAATTCGATACAAGTAGGAATGGCTGTTGTGATGCCAGCATGGCGATAACACAGGTTAAGTGTTTCCCTTTAAAACACACTTACAGCCTAATTCAGAATCATTCTTATCTGGATTAAGAGTCACTAACAAGGAGATGACTGTCCTTTAATGTACTTACCAATACGACCTTCCAGAATGTGTCCATATTCCAGACAGAAGCAATATTGTCTAGCGCCTGAATTAAGGACTGGCTCTGTCTCTGCCTCTGCCTCTGACCTGCTGTACAATTCTGGGGAAAATCACTTAAGTTCTGCCACCTCTACATTTTCCAGCTGGAAAATGGGTGATCCTTAACCCGCATTGCCAGGGGATGCAAGAGTTTGGTAACCATGGTTTGGAATGTATCTGAAGAATGGATGCAGTGAAAGATACCATGGAGCTGCAGTGCAGCAGACAGCCCTAGGAGCACGTTTGCCATGCCTTGCCATGTATCACCTGTGCAGAGCATTCAAGAAGCTTTGGATCTGCAGAGGAGAAGCCTTCCAACATGCACTCAAGACAGCTGTAAGGGATGGGACGAGTTGCAAATGAGTAAGGGATCCCATCTCTTTGGGTTCAAAAAAGGATTTCTGTGAAGCTGGCTTGGATTTTTTTCTGAACCCTGTGAGGAAGCCCCTGCTTTATTGCGCTTTCAGAGAAGCTGTGTTGGAATAATGTGACTGGCAAGGAAGCCATAGAAGAGAGAATGGTGTTATTACAAATGAAGAAGATTAAATCTTTACTTTTACATTCCAAAGGCATCCAAGACAGCTAGTCCTTTTTTTATTCTTAAAATGTTAATATTTGTCTGGAGGATGCTGCTGAAGCTTTCTAAGGTGAAGACAGATTTTGGGGCAGAGACTCCCAAATGTCTTCTAAACATTTGAGCCTCTTTTGGGCAGCAGTGCCTGGAATGCATGGGATACTGTCTGGTAGGATGGATTTAATTTGAAAAGACAACATTCTCACCAGGTTACACCTAGTATTTTTCATTGCAAAAACAGAGGGTCATTTTTCCTATCCTGGTTCATTGAGCCTTGTATGGTCTATTATCTTGTGAAATGGTCAGGTCACTAAAAGAATTTTAGTAAAAGAATTTTACCTGCTTGCTTCAGTGTCAGCTTGCCAGAGGGAAAGCAGTGGGAAACCAGAGGTCAAACTCTTCCCCTGCACACCTCATCTGTACTGTAATGAAGATCATAACTCACTAGATAGCTGCATGTTGTCTCTAAACATCATGTGTGCCACATTCAAGATGGTTCTTTCTCAGCTAATTATGTTTCAAAGTATCTTAACTGTATTTCCTTAACCAGATTGCTATGAGTGCATGAGAGGCCCTCTGGAACATTTTCAGGTATCTTTAACGAGATAGAAGGGAAAATGCAATAACTAAGTTTTGCATTTAGAGGTTTAGTGCTTCCAAAGGTTTCTAGCACAGGGTTGCAAAGCTCAATAAAGCACATGTTCTTGTTTCCCAAAGTAACTACTCTGTTGTTAAATTAAGCTGACCTGTGAACAAGCATAAAGAAGCTTTTTTTCTTGTAAAAAAACAGTGTGATCAATATATTTCCACTGCCCCAAATTGTGACTGCATAAACAACACAAATCAGCATGCTCATGGGTAGAATGCACATTCTGCAGTTGTTACAAACTACTGCCCTTTGTCTGACTTGGTGCTAAACCAGCATGATATATGGGGGACCGTGTTGTCAGAAAGCATTGATTGGGCTTGAAGCCCTCAGAACCACTAAATGTGGCAAATTTTGTGGGTTTTGATGATTGTAAACAGGATTTTGTGACCAAATTCCACTTGGAGTCACCATGTTCTTCTATATTTAGTTGCATTAGGAAGAACTCTTTTTTTTTTTTCCATCCCAGTCCTGAATTACAAAGCATGAGCTGGCCAGTCAGCTGGACATTGACAGGGATGATCTGTGCTGGTAACATGATTATGATCTGTAAAATGAACCCTCTTTCATCAAATCTGTGACTTGAAACAGGCTGTTCCTGAATTTATGATAACAGAGATTTTGGGGACTGTTGATGGTATTTCTTTTTAACCCACACCCTGGAGAATAGATTTTAAATTATCTGTAACCGGAGCTTTTGTATGTCATGACAAAAATAATACCAGTAGGAATTTGTTTCCTGTCACCTTGAGTTTATCCAAAGGTAAGAGCAGTGGGCTTAGATCTCATCTGGAAGGGTGGAGGGGGGAAAGCTTGACCTACACCCTTTAGAGCTGTGGATCAGTACTGCTCCATTCTGTTTCAGCAAAATAAAATACTCCATGGGAGAGTTGTATCATTTTTGGTGAAAGGCAAATAAGAGGAGTTTGTAAAATAAGAGAAGTGGACTCAGATATTCACCTGGAGTTCTTTAATCCATCAATCTGTTATGCAGAAGATGAACAAATCAAATACACATTTGTGCTCATGCAACTAAGTCAGTAAAAGGTACAGCTGGCCCCAGATCTCTGTCATTTATTAACAGAGAGTGAGATGCAAAATATGTCTCTTTTATAAAAATAAATAGATGGAAAATTCCAGTGCAAAGACATGAGTGAAGCCATGCTTTGGAGGGAACAGAAAAACCTGATGTAGCTCAAACTTGCTAAGCACAATAAACGTCCTTAAGCATGAGGTACTATTTATACTGGAAAAGGGCGATAAGTGAATCACTTCTGATTACAGTCAAACATATGTTCTACAAATGCAGCTGCTATTTCAAACTCCACACTTAGCTCAATTTATAGCTGCTTCCAAATTCTGCAGTCTGTGAGTTACAATATAATGGCTGTTTATGGGAACATTCTCTCTCCAGAGAATTTGTTTGCATTCTATCTGAATAGCTATTTTTTGTTTACCTTCTTTTTCTGAGCCCTGGGGTGTAACTTGCTTTTCTTTACCAGTCAACAGCACTGATAATGATTCTTCTCAAGAGTTTGCCTGAATTAAAGAGAAGCAAACATGCACAAAGCCATGCTAAGTATAGCACAACCCCATCACTAGTCATGAAAAGCACATAGCATTTATTAGCAGTAACATTTAAAAATTATTTCACTACTGAGTGGAATATTCACCCTCAGAACAAACATATTCTTTCCTGGAAAGGATATAGTGACATTTTCTTCCCTTAAAGTTTTGTGTCTGTTTTCTCCTACATCTTGGTGCATAACAAGATCCTGATTCTGCCATATGCCTGTCTCCCTCAATACCTTAGTGTACAAAATGAGCCAAGCCCTGCAATTTTTTTTTTTAATGGCCTCATTTTTCTTTCCTAAATGACCACTGAATAGAGTGTTCAGTATTGTTAGAGGAGAAGAATACCAGAGTTAAGGCAGATGATAAACAAGATTTTAGCTGTAGCCTAATGGCATTCTCATATCTGGACATGTGTGTAGCACAGTGGTATTTCTTATGTGGCAAAAAGACTATTATGAAACATCTTAATGGACTCCAGAAAGAATCACTCATGGAGTTCTTCATCTGCTTTTAGGCTTGATAGCCCTTAAATATCTAACCGTGTACAGTTACAATGATGAGATTGAAACTGTATATAAATAATAAGAGAGACTTAGTCTATACAGTTGTTAAAGGCTGGGAGGAGTTGATGGGAGGAGTGTTTGTTTCTGCACAGTGGTAAAGAAATAAAAGAAGTAGTTGCAAAAAGTTTGATCTGAAAGAATTCGTACTAACAAGAAATCCAGGATTTAGAAGGGGGAGAATAAAAGTATCTTGATGTGTTCAGGGGAAAAAAAAAAACCAGCAAGATAACAACGGAGAAAAAGATTTTGCTACAAGAGTCTGTGATTAGAATGATTCACTGGTCCTTTCCAGTTTTAATCTCCTATTATGCACTTCAAATACAGGTCATGCCAAGACTTAGGCTAGTAGCTTCTTGGGAGCAGGCAGCTTTGCATCAATTTACATGTACTTCGAGTCACCAAGCATTTGTACTTCAGTACTTAGAACTTTTTATCTGGATTGTTGAGTATAAATGGCTGATCAAGTTCACTGGCAGCAAATATCTGCAGTCAATCGTATTTATTCCCAGGAATAAAAGGTGAGGTGTAAAGGCTGGTGTGGAGTCTGTATACAAGGTTGGTGGAAGTGAGAAATATTGCCTTCAGCCATGGACTGTGGAAAATAAGTCTAGGAACTTCTGATACTTCACAGACTAATGAAGAAGTTATGAAGAAGACTCCTCTGGGCAGTTTTATTTTCACCCCATCCTGTAGAACTTGGTGCCTCTGTGCATAATTCCCATGTATTTTGAAACATTTAACTTCCATTCTGCACCTGTGTCTGATGGACACAAACATGCAGGGTACAAGAAGTGCTAACATGAGGCTCTCCCAATAACAGTCTCATACATTAATTAGTACAGGCAGTCACAGATAGTCTCTGCAAGAAGGGCTGATTGCTGATAAATATCCAGATCAAACTCACAGTGTTATTCACTTGGGAATAACACAAGGAATGTTTTCCCTGTGAATTCAGAAGAAAAATGAGCTATAGGGGAGGGCTGTATCTAATAATATATCTAATAATATTCTTTTCTCCTCATCCTCTGGGCATTCCCCTCAGTCTTTTCATGCTCCATCTCCTACTTGCGGGATTTTCCCACTGATGGGAATTTGGACCCCAACCCGCTAAAAGCCATGCTTTTGAAGCAGTAGTGTTTGAAAAGTGTGAAAAGATGGTCTTTATTGCTTGCCACCTTCATAGAGGTCCTGTAGGGCTATTACATTTAAAAACCTGATTGCATTCCTCTGCTTGTAACTCCTGTGAACTGTTATTAATATGTATTTTAGAAAGCAGTAAATAAAATGTGAATGAAGAAGAAGGTTCTCTGCCTGACATATTTATTGAGAAAAAAGCACGAGTGATGCTTGCTGCACCTACAGCTTTCCGTTTTTCTAACCACTGCCTCCTTGTAATGCTTACCTCGAGCTCTCAGTGGCTGGGAATTGCAAGAAGGTTCCAAGCTGTAGAAACCTTGAATGAACAAGGCTTTGTAAATAAACAAAACCATTTAAAATTCATTAGTCCATTTATGTTTCAAACAATTATAAATGCGCAAGAGGATTTGTTTTTCCAGTGAGGACCCTTAAACCCTGATGCATTACTGCTTGTTAGACTTGTCTCTAGTTCCTGAGCTTGAGCAAATAATACACTGCTGCTGTACAGGAAAATAAAAATTGAACATGTTAACCGCACGATTCCATGCAGCTCCTACAAGACAGTATTCTTAGCTAGATGGAGGTTTGCTGTAAGGAAGCTAAAAAGGCATCAGCCTTGTATGCATCAACTCTCCAGGCTGGCAGGAAGGTATTTTTAAAAATTAAGCCTATTCCTCTGAAAGAGCACTTTGTACCTGGAAGCCGAGTCGGACACCAGCAACACAGGTTGGAGGTGGCACCTCCCTGGAGCGGAGCTGGTACTTCAGAGCAGCTTCTGCCCAGGGCAGGTCGGGTGGCCTCACGGCACCAACCAACTCCTCGCTCACCCACACTCACTCCCAGGCAGGGCTCCACCCGAGCTTCCCCGCAGCACCCGCAGGTGCTGGGTTTCTAAAAGTAAATGGCAATAGCCCGCCACAGCAGCAGGTCAGCTCAAGCTGGGTGTCTGCGCAGAGGGATGCTCAACAAAGAAGTCCCTGAGCTTTTAGACCCTCAGTCCATTCTTCTCGCGCCTCTTGCTCCAGCTCTGATTTTTGGTGGCGTTCTCTCATTCTGTGTTCGTGCGGGCTCATCACTGACCCGTTTCCTGCGCCGGTGCCCCGCCACCCTCACGGCACAGGACTCCTGGCACCCAGCCTGCCTCCCCTCCCTGCCGCCCCCGCGCGCTCCGGCGCCTCACGGAGCCCCGCCCTCCCCGCGCACGCGCGGCCCGCCCGCGGCGCCGCCAGCGCGGCCGGCGCGCGCGCTTCAAACCGGCGCGGCGGGCGCGGCGCATGCGCGGGGCGGCGCCGGCGCGGGGCGGGGGGCGCGCGCGCCATGGCGGCGGGCGGGCGCGGCTGGTTCCGCGCGCTGGCGCTCGGCGTCTCCTTCCTCAAGTGCCTCCTCATCCCCGCCTAGTAAGGAGCTTCCCTCTGCACCGCACGGGACGGGGCCGGGCGGGTGGTGTAGGGCTGCCGCCAACCCCCGAGGGCGGCCGGGCGCGGGCAGCGTGGCGCCGCGCTCCTGAGGGAGGCCCTGAAGGTCCATGTGGCTCCCGGGTTCGTGAGGGAAGCGAGGCGGCGCTGCCTCCGCCCCGTGGCACAGCTTTCCTTTCCTCTTTGGAAGCCCTTCTTGCTCGTTCCGGCTGGCTGCTGTTCGGGAAGACTGAAACTGTGCTGAAACAATAATGCTCTATAATTTTAAGTTTTTGTACTGAGAAAACCCCCTAACAAATTCCTAATAAACTTCAGTTAGAACTTGGAATTTTGCATTAATTGTCCGGAAAAGCCAAGCTATAAATAGTTCTTGCCCTGTAAGCACCTGTATTAGTGGCTTTTTACATGGTCAGTCATAGGACAAGGAGGAATGGTTTTAAACTAAATAAAATGGGAGATTTAGATCAGACGTCAGGAGAAAAATCTTTCCTGTGAGCTTGGTGAGGCACTGGTACAGGCTGCCCAGACAATCTGCATACCCTGTCTCTGGAAGTGTTCTAGGCCAGGTTGGATGGAGCTTTGAGAAACCTGGTCTAGTGGAAGGGTGGTTGATATGAGATGGTCTTTAGGGTCTCTTCCAACCCAAACCATTCTATGATACATCTTTAGCATAAAGTTCTTGAGAAGCATTGTTACTGTTTCTGTTACTTGATTGCTGTGGTGTCCTAGAACTGATAAATTGAGTGGCTTCCTTCTAATCTGCATGTGGTGATGTGCTCTGAATTTTCTCCCTCCTTAGTGCATGCATACATCTGACTCTTAACATGAACCTTCTCTAGTTACTCCACAGATTTCGAAGTCCATAGGAACTGGCTTGCCATCACCCACAACTTGCCCCTCTCTCAGTGGTACTACGAGGTAAGGACACATTTGGGGTGGTTTTTAGCTGTGTATGAATTACAAGCACGTTGGGTATGACAGACCTTGTGAATGGTGGAAGATGTGGTTGGCAGCTGTCATTAGTGGGACAAAAAGGTGCCAGTCACAATTTGCTGGCCTTGTGTAGCATTTAGATAGAAAATGAAAGTTAGTTGGCGAAGCTGCAAGTACTTATGAAGGCAAAATGGGAAAAGCAATTAAGGCACTTGGGTTATTGGAAATGCTGTGTAGCACCAGGGCAAGTTGAATTGTACTCTTAAATTGCTGATGTCTGTGTTCTTCTCATTGGTGATACACAGTTACCAGAATAAAGAGTGAGTCATGCTGACGGGTATATACATCTTTCCATTATGAAATCAATTACTGTATTTAAATTTTGAGCCTTTGCTGGTGTGCTAGTAGCATGCATTGATTTTTATCTAGACGAATCACCTTTAGGTTTGTCGTGACTCAGCCTACCTAATTGGGTTTTAATCTGTCCCCTGGTATCTGCTGGAGTACAGGGATAGATAGATACTGTAGTGTCTCCTACTCCACATAAGCATCTAGAAGTAAATGATTTGTGAAGGTCAGAGCTTTGTAGGACTGATCCAAGGACTGTTTTACAAACAGATTTTTATAATGTCAGCATTAGCCCTATGCCAGAACATAGGATGCCTTTCATCAATACAGCATAAGCATTTGGGAACATGCTCACTGAAAAACATACCCCACCCCAACCTGCTCTGTACATGCCTCTTCCTCTCCTATTTCCACAGCCAAGGAGTTAATTCTTGGTAGGTCATAACAAATGTCCTTATGGGAAGAGATCACATAATGCCATTTGATATGGTTGTTTGAGAGTTAAGACTTGTTAGCTGATGAGTGAAAGTCATTTTGAGGCTGAAGCCTTTGCTGGTGTATTAGTAGTATGCATTGATTTTTATCTAGATAACTCACCTTTGGGTTTGTCATGACTCAGCCTACCTAAGGTTGATTGTGTTGGTGATCGCTCTAATAGAGACAAACACTGTCTCTGAGTTATTTTACTGAGATTATGTAATAATGACCCTATTACTGTAAAATTATTTGTAGACAACAGTTATATACTGGTTAGTGCAGGTGCACAAGATGCTCTTTAATCTTTTCCTGCTAATCAGGAAATGTCACATCTCTGCCAGTACTGCAGGAGAACAGTTTAAAGCACCACAGAGCTGGCTACAGATTGTGGAGTGATTGGAGTTACATGGAGGGTACGGAGAGAAAATGCATTAGCTGGTTTGTTGCACTGAAGGACTGCAAACAGCATGGTTTGTTATTTTGTCTTTAGGCGACCTCAGAATGGACCCTGGATTATCCACCATTTTTTGCTTGGTTTGAATATGTGCTTTCTCACATTGCCAAGTACTTTGACCCCCAGATGTTGGTCGTTGAAAACTTGAATTACGCCAGTCGTGCAACCATCATCTTCCAAAGGCTTTCTGTCATCTTTACAGATACCCTCTTCATATATGCAGTTCATGAGTAAGTCTTAATGTTCTGATTTTAGGGATAGTGGGTAGTCCTTTGTATGTGGGTTTGTTTTGTAGACACAACAAATAACTATTTGTACAAATAAGCTTGTAAATGAAGAGAAATGCCAGAGTTGCTTGAACTTGTTCAAGGAGAATCTTGAAATATTCTGCTAAACACAAGATAGCACATTTTTCTTGGAGATACAGTTGCACTACATGTGATGATTTGCAGGCACTTGGACACCAGTTGCTGTTTCATGTGTTATACTTAGGTTTGCTTATGCACTGAACTCATTTTGTAGGAGATGCAGGACAGCTGGTGTGCTCAGAACAGGTTTTTTCCTGTTACTTTTCTTATTACTCTGTTTTTTTCTAGAAGCATAAAGGAGATCTGTCACAAAATGGCAGTATTATCAAATATGCAAAATTGCTCTAGTGTTTTTGATGATAAACTGATTATTCCAAGTCTGATGTAATTAGGATTGGATGCTTTCATTGCGGCCTGACTGAAGAATTTTTTACCTTACTCCTAAAGAGTAGGGGAGGGGGAGTTGTTCTGAGAAATGTGTTGCCTACCTTAATGATTTGGTTATAAGAGTTATATCATTTTATTCTTTCTGCTCAAGACCTGGGTAGGAAGTTCTCTGATTGGAGCACTGCCTAAGCTCCTTTATTTACTTTCTTTATGCTAGCTAGCTTTGCACTGTGACTTCTTTTCCTTTTATTGTTTTGACTCACAGATGTATGAATGTGAGGCTGAAGGCTCAGGGCTGGTGTGTGCACAAGGTCATTTCACCAAGAGAGGTGGCATATGCCCTGTGCCTGGAAAAATTCAAGGCCAGGTTGGATGGTGATTTGAGCAACCCAGTCTAGTGGAAGGTGTTCTGCTCATGGCAGGGAGGTTGCACTAATAGTCTTTCAACACAGATGATCTGTAACTTTTTTATGTAATTTAAGACTGCTTTCAGGAGTCATATGAACCATATTGCTTCACACTGAGAAGTAATAAGTTGTTTTTAACCAACAGTAAAATGGCTAACTTCAGAGTAAGTGCAGCTCTTCACTCTTAAAATCAACAATGTTTTTGCTTATATGTTTGAATTAAAGCTTTTGTTTCTTCTGCTCTTGCTTAGGTGCTGCAGATGTATAAATGGAAAACGAGCTGCAAAGGATATCCTGGAAAAACCAACATTTATTCTTGCTGTTCTGCTCTTGTGGAATTTTGGGTTGTTAATTGTGGATCGTATCCTTTCAAACCGGTGTGGGTTGGTGGTGGTTTGTTTGGTTTTTTAACAACCTCTTACAGTGTGTGGCACA